GGAAGTCAAGGTAAATAATATCTATTGGATCCCCCTTGTCCACATGTTTGTTCACCCCCTCAAAGAACATTAACAGGTTAGTGAGACAAGATCTTCCCTTACAGAAACCGTGCTGAGTCTGCCTCAATAGGTTTTGTTCATCTATGTGCCTACTAATTCTTTCCTTAATAATGGTTTCCACCAATTTACCCAGTATCGACGTCAGACTGACTGGCCTGTAATTTCCCGGATCTCCTCTGGAACCCTTTTTAAAGATTGGAGTGACATTAGCTACCTTCCAATCCTCAGGAACGGAGGCAGATTTTAAGGAAAGATTACATATCTTTGTCAGGAGATCCACAAGTTCACATTTGAGTTCTTTCAGAACTCTCGGATGTATAAGAGGGGTTCGGCAGGGGTGCTCGCTCTCGCTGTTCCTTTTTATTATTGCAATAGAACAACTAGCAGAAAGGATAAGGAATTGTGCAAGGATAGAAGGTTATAAGGTGAGGTGGGAAGAAATGAAAATTAACCTATTTGCAGATGACATTATAGTCGTCATGACAAACCCCAAAGAACCGATAAAAGAAGTAAAAATTATACTTTAGGATTTTGAACGCTGCTCAGGTTTAAGGGTCAACATGGCTAAATCAGAAATTATGTATCTCAATGTGAGCAGAGAGGGGGAAAAAGAAATAAACAAAATTACAAGCATGGGAATGGGCACTAAACAGCTCAAATATTTAGGTATAGTATTACAAAAGAATATTAATAGAATCTCGGAGCTTAACTACAACATGATATGGAAGAAAATTGAGAAGGAAATGGGGAAGTGGTTAAATAAAACCGTAGGTGTATCCACTAGAATTAGGAGTGTCAAAATGTTTTGGATACCAATAATATATCTATTTCAGTTGATACCACTAGGGGCCAATATTAATAGACTAGAGCAATGGAATAGGAAGATTAGAGAGTGGATATTTGGCAGGAAAAAAAATGTAGAACCCAAAAAAGGTTGGTATATAGTCACAAAGCGGAGTTGGGCTGGGGAGTCCCCGAGCTGAAGAGCTATTATGAAGCTTTCCAAGTTAAGCAGTTATTAGAGATAGGTGAAGGTAGTGAGCAGAAATGGGTCAGATTTGAGAATGAGATCAATAACAACATAGGATGCTTTGGGATTTTCTCTAAAGTTACTAAAAAAGATCTTAAATCAATTAAAGGGCCCAGAAATTCAGCACTAGAAGCCTGGAGTAAGTGGCAGCCCACATGGTTAGGAAGAAACTCAAGATGGGCACCAATAGATGCCATCCATAGTGAAATAAGCGAAAATAAATGGTGGCAGTTGCTAAGATCAAAAGGGTATTATAGATTGGGAGACATGTTTAGGCAAGGCAACCTAAAACCAGTATATGAAATAACCGAAGAGATGGGTAGGCAACATTGGCTTAAAATAATAGCACTCCATAGTATGGTAAAAAAGATTAATGAAAAAGAAGAAATCTGGTCAGAAGAACCAATAGAAGAAATATACAAAAGGATGCAGAAGTCAAAACAAGGACTAGCAGGGAAAATTTATAGGAAAATGATATCAGAAGAAGGTCAGATAACAGAAAACATGGCAAGCAAAATTATGAAGGGAATAGAGGAAATTAAAGTGATTAAATTTAATGAAATGGAGCATAAATTCTTTACAAAATGGTACAAAACACCAGCGCAATTGGCAACTATGTTCCCAGGAGCAAGTCCCATGTGCTGGCACTGTAAACAGGCCAAGGGCTGGTTTTCCCACATCTGGTGGGAATGCCCAGAGGCTAGAGCCTTTTGGGCAAAATTTTTACAAATTATAGGGAAAATATGCAAAGTCTCGTTGACCATAAACTTCAATCTAATGCTAATGGGTACAATTGGGAACCCAGCAGTAAGTAAGGAGAATCAAGCTACATTTAAAGCCATGATATTACCTAGTAAAGCAGTGATTGCTCTGGGCCTGGAAGGACAAGAGTAAATGGACAGTAGAAATCTGGCATAATTATTTGTTTGATTTCATACAGTCGGACATAATTGCGAAGCTGAACCAAAGAAATCAGGACGAAATGGAAGACCTACCTAGAATGGATAGTAACAGAAGGAAGAAAAGACATTCAGTGCAAGATTTGGACTTTGTGCCCGTGGCTGGGATCAAAGGACTAGTGAACTGAAATAGCAAGGGATGGGTGGGGGGAGGGAGAAGGTTTATAAAGCGATATGTAATGTACGGGACAAAACTTGATATGTAATATACATAAAACTTTACATTTAAAAAAACACAATAAACCAGAAGTGCACTGCACCACCTTGTGGTTTGCACTGAGAATAGTAAGGAGACAAGAGCAAAAGGTCTCGAAGAGCTGTACACTACAGTCTTTGCTGCCTTAGACGCTACGTGAGAATGTGGGGATACACACCTTGAGGAATTTGAGTAAGACTGGACACAGGAAATAGAGGCAGGAAAAATAGAGCTAGAAAACGTACAAGAATGATGAAGGTTCCCATAGCAGAAACCCAAGGAGAAAGTCACGTCTGGAAGGAATATCCAGGTGGACTTTTCTATTTTCAAGTGTTCAAAAATATCTGAGAGTAGTGGGAAGAGAACTGTAAACTCAATCCACAGAGAAAAGAGCAAGGGGTGAGGGTGCATAAAACAGGGAAGGAGACTGAGCATTATGCAGAACTTCCCATCAATGTAAGAAGAGTTAGTTTTTAAACTTCGTCTCTACATTAAGGATCCTCAGAGTGGCTTACAATCACTTTCTCTTCCTCTCCCCACAAGCACCTTGTGATGTAGGTGAAATTGAGAGAGCTTTGAAAGAAACTGTGACTGGCCCAAGGTCATCCAGCAGGATTCATGTGGAGGAGGAGTGGGGAATCAAACTCGGTGCTCCAGATTAGAGTCCACCACTCTTAACCACTACACCATTAAACAAGCTTCCTTTGACAGCTGTGGCATCTCCTCTTTCCTTCAAAGAATTTAGGAACGGTTAGTCAAGCGGTTGTCAGAAATGCTTCCGTCAGGAGATATGTATTTAAACCAGATTAGACAGCCTGATGCACCCCAAACATTTGATTGCATCACCTCATACCCAGTGAGCCTGCCTGCCTCCAAAACTTCAGACGTAAGAGAGGACAGCACTGCTCAACCTTTTACGAGCAACTCCCACTCAGTCTCCCTCCCTCCCCTGCCAGTTTGCCTCAAAGCTCTCTTTTCACACAATCCTGTGGGATGTGAGGCGGGCTCAGTGAATAACTCACCGGTTAGGGGTCGCCCTGAAAGTCTCCTCTGCACTCTCTCCACACTTTGTAGAACTGGCCAAACACCAGAGAGGTCACACCCTCACCCCTCCTATGTTGACTTCAGTGTATTGACTCTTTCAGCTTCCTTGTAGCCAAGGGCAGAGCCACTGCAGCTGTGCAATCTCCAAAGATGTGCAGGGGAAAAAAAAGATGTTTGTGCTTCTGAGAGGAAATCAAGCCATACCCATTTTTTTCTACTAGAAAAGGACCAGGCCTTCCCTCCCTTTGGGAGCTAGTGTGAAACAACTCTCCTCCCTTTGGGAGCTAGCATGAGATAACTGTGACAAACATGTTTGTTCAGAACTTGACAGTCTACCATTAACAGTGCAATGTAAAGCTGAGTCACGCCCTTCTTATGCCCACCGACTTCAGTGGACTTAGAAGAGTGTCACCCTGCTGAGGACAGCACTGTAAGTCACCCTGGGATACGGAAATATGCCTTCCCTGCCTTCCAGTAGCTCAGGCTAGTATCAATGCACTCACCCACATCCCCCTACACATCAGCCCTGCAAGGTAAGTAGAGACACTACTCTGCCAACAAAAGTCCGCACGGTCAAAGCAATGGTATTCCCAGTAGTCATGTATGGCTGCGAGAGTTGGACTACAAGGAAGGCCGAGCGCCGAAGAATAGATTCTTTTGAACTATGGTGCTGGAGAAGACTCTTGAGAGTCCCTTGGACTGCAAGGAGATCAAATCAGTCAATCCTAAAAGAAATCAACCCTGACTGTCCCCTGGAAGGCCAGATAATGAAACTGAAGCTCAAATACTTTGGCCACCAAATGAGAAGGGAGCCCTCACTGGAGAAGACCCTGATGCTGGGAAAGACTGAAGGTCAAAGAAGACGGGGACGGCAAAGTATGAGATGGTTAGACAGTGTCATAGATGCAACAAACATGAAATTGAGAAAACTTCAGAGGACAGCAGAAAACAGGAAGGCCTGGCGTGATCGGGTCCATGGGGTCGTGAAGAGTCGGACTCGACTGTGCGACTGAACAACAACAAATACCATAACCCTGGGGAGAGGTTCCAAAGGATGCAGAAGATAGTTGTAAGGTGAAAGGCGTGCTTCCCAATGTTCCCTCTAAGCTGTGGAGTCTTGTGAGCAAAAGTTCTACTTTGTGAGCTACCAGCATTAAAGTTGTGAGCAAGTGATTTGGCTGCTGCATCAATTAGTTTGCTCTGGAGCCCTCCTTCCTGAGCGAAGACAAAACTGTGTGAGCCGGAGGCTAAAAAACTGTGAGCTAGCTCACACTAACTCAGCTTAGAGGGAACACTGGCTGCTTCCTGATCCTCAGCCTCACAGAATTGGTGTGTCATGAGCAGCCCAAGGAGACAGTGTTGATGGACTGCAACTCCAAAACAGTGCTGGGAAAGTTACTGCGTGCAGACACCGCTGTCCTGAAAGCAGGTCAATGTTGATTGAAATCTGAGAAGGTAAAGTGGCCAGAGGTGGGGTTGATAGTTCTTTGCAAAAACAGAATCATGCAAATATAAGTGAGAATACCCTCATCGGGAAAGTCACTTAATTTAAAAATAAATAGCTTCTTTTGCTTGGGCCACATGAGTTCAGCTTACCATGGCAGAGAACTTTTAATTATTTTTAAGATGGGGCGCTGCCCCTTTCGCACGGATCCAGGCAACCTGTGGTAACGCAAAAATGCAATCATTTTATTTGAAGACTGATGTGGGCCTTAAAAGGATTCTGGCAGCTTCCTGGTAGCTGCTCTATCTGGAGTCATCGGGCTATCGGCAAGTGTGACAGAGGGGAGACTCAAGGTGGTATTCCTGGACACGGGAGAAGCATTTGAGCACTACCACAAACCCCCAAGACTCCTTCTGCTAATGTTGACCCATTATTTATTGATCCACTTTTAAAGCTGAGCACAGAAGTCCACCCTACTTCAAAGGCATGCGGGGCGATGATCACTGCTGCACCCCTCTCTGTGGCTGCCAAAGGAAAGCTGTCCCCGGCTTCCTCCCCTTCCAGATCTCTCTTTCACACAGCCCAATCCCAAGCCTCTAACGGAGGCAAAGGAAGGCGTAGCTGGTCGTGCACGCAACACGATGCTCCGCTGCCAGCAAGCGTTCAGAGGTCAAGGTTCATGTAAGTGCGGAGGTTGCGTTCCCAAGCTTCAGCTTTGGCCTCCCGACGCCGAGCCTCCCGTCTCCCCACCGTGGCGGCCCTTTCCGTCCGGGGCCGCTGGCCTTTGGGCTGCTCCACGGCGCTACGGTCGTGGGCGTCAAAGTGGGTCACCTTGGGCTTGAGGTCACTGTGGAAGCCCAGGCCCTTCTGGTCTCGCTTGAGGACGGTCTGGACGGGGAACTTGCGGCCGGCGCCCTCCGGTCCCAAGCCGGCTTCCTGGTCCCAGCCCCCCTTGACCATCAGCCGGAAGCCCACATTGTTCTCGGGGATGTGGTACCGTGTCGGGGGGAGGGGATCGCGCCGATTGAAAAGGTGGGCGGTGGAGCGCTCGTGGATGGCCACCGTGTCCTCGCTGTAGTGAGTCTGGCACACGGCACAGAATCTTCTCTCAGGCGGTGTTTGCGGACTGCAGAAAAGGAAGAAAAATTGATT